ATATGCATTTTTCAGGCTTCAAGCGGTTTTCTATTGAGGCCAGGTAAAACCTGCATAAATTCGAAGTTGCATATGTCAGAGGCATGTAATCGAAAACTTCTGATTTTGTTTTGCTAATACTAATCTCCCTGAGAACTTCATCTAGGAAACGTTTTCAGGCCAGTACTCGACTAGAATTTTAACGAAAAATTAGGTTCTTTCAGAGAAAGCCACTAAAAGGTCAATATCTCGGTCAAATACTAATGTCAGCACGAACAGTTTGTAGCCTGTTCTAATCTATAGACCCACTACCACGAGGAAAACATGGGGTCAAATGTTTTACATGATCTCGGAAGCTTTCCTCGTGAGTAATTTTTTTCCTCACGATCTTACCAGCATTCATCTATTAGAAGTATGGTAATCCTTAAGATTCATTGTGTGCCGCGTTTAGTTTATAATGCATGCCAATCGTGCTGCTGATCATCGGAAGCACTGTAATCATGGCGGACTTCTATTTTTTTCTGGTGTCTTTCCTGTATAGACTCGCGAAACTAAAATCTGAAATTATATAATTATAGCTTGTAACTTGGTTCAAGATCAATGTTTCGACGCCATTAAAACGGCGACGAGCAATAGATTGCATGAAATTGACTAGCCGTGTAAACTAGGAAATAACACTGCGAATACAGTTCTCAAACGGTTTTGAATAAATCACAAAGTGGCGTATCCTTCTATTAATGATTACGATTGACGTTTTGGAGAAAACACAGATATGAGCAGTCATTTGATCATCATTCAGATTGTCCAAGAGAATGAAAGAAAATTTTCTTTCTTTACATAGATATTATAATTTTGAATAGTACCATTGTTTGAAGGCTCGTATACGAAGTATTCAAGTAAGAATTTCCGTTTCTATCATATGCTTGGTTTGTTACTTTGTTTTACTTGAAGAAATGGAAGTCGAAACGATGCTACGAGACGATGGTGAAACTGTGACACTTCCTGTCGCCAAACGAAAGCAATCAAAGAAACGACAGTGAGTATAATTTTGATAATAAATTAAACAGCAGCGGGCCAAATGAACTTAAACCTCTATTTCTCTTATTGAAAGCCGTCGAAGTTTGTTTTTAACGTTCAAATTAAAGTTTTTCTTTGAAAAAAAACAGAGCTCTATTTATCGTCTACGAGTTTTTAGGATATTTTTCTCAAAATCTCCTCATGGAATACATCGGCGACGGCATGAATGAGACCTACTATCGGATTATATACATTCATTTAATCTATCGAACATATAATTAGATTATCTTTCTGATATGAATGAAGTAAATTTCTAACATACCTCATTTATTTTACTTAGGAACAAATGGCAATTCATTTTACTACGTTTAGGTGTCGGTAGCTTAACAATTATGTTGCTTGCCGCCTTAATCTCTGTTGTCGTCTTTAAATCGATGCACAGCAATCAAAAATCAATAAGCACAGACGAAAAGGAAACAGGTTAACTTTGAGCGTTTATTAGACGATCATCATAATCCTAGATATGTGTAGACATTCAAGAGGTTCTCCTCAAAGCTATTTTCAGTACCAATCATGTTGTGAACAACGAAATGCATTCAATGAACATTATAAATATCGATAATATAACTGATCAAGTATAAAATTTAGTGAAAAGCTGGCTTGTATTCTTTTTCCGTTTTCTTGCAGCTGAACACAATATTGAATGGAAATATGATTAGTGTCATCAATGCATTTTTCCGAAATCATTCTGTATCGAAAGGGTAATCCCAATAAACATCCCATAATGCTATTTTTTTGACTATGTTTCAATTTTGATTAAGGATTATATGCAAAGATCCATTATCTGGAAATATTCTTCAATTGAATATTATCACATTTTATTCTCGTAACTGTGTTTATCAAGATGACGATATGTGTAAAATTCAGCTTCAGGAACAATTAAAAGCAGTGTTCAGTCAAAATTCTGGCATTTCTGTCATGATTCAGTTTGATGACAAACGTGTCAATACTACTGATATCAAAATATGTAGTCTTACGGAAATGACAGGTACGATAGGAAGCACCATTTCAGAAAAGTCGCATTATTTTATGTTCAGAAGCCGAAGAAGAAAAAATTGGCACACCAGCAAAGATAAATGCAAAACAAGCCGTGCTGCCATTTGCAATGCCACAAAAACTAGCGAGAAATAGTAAGTTTCTAAAACAAGACTGATAAACTTCTCGTAATCTTTCTAGTAACAATCGAACTATTCTCTAGTTTTAAAAAAAGTTCATAATGTTTGCTATTCTTAAATTCCTTTATTGGTAACAATGGTAAAAGTTATGAACTTCATCTTTTCAGAATCATGGGTCTATGATTAACACAGCTTAGAGCTACACAGAAACTTGATCGGATTCATGATCAAGTCTTTCAAATGCTTCTTACGGTTTTCATAACATAAGTATATTTGAATTTTGCTGATAAAACGACCTAAATCTAACTATGATTGAACCAATGATATGGTTAGAAATAGATTAAATTTTCTGCTAATGCAAAACATAAAATGAATATTTGAATTCGAAAGTTTGACTTATGGATAAATTCATGGAGTAAAAAAGTATTTAGCTTAATTTCTAGTAGGGATAACACTTTGTCTTTATTTTAGCAAGTAAAACAAATTAATTAACTTTACTTTACCTGCTAAAGTAAAGTATATATGGGCCATTTCATTCGTTAGGGACGTGACTTCGCAAAATTAAAATACTTATATCTCTGGTTAATGAACTTTCCTAGAGCTAGTTTTTATGTGCCACACGCATGATGAGTTATTTTTAATACACTGAAAAAATCACCCCTATAGACTATTGTTCACAGAAGTTATTACCAAAAAAGTAGCGTTAGGAACGTGACACAGAAAAGGACATGGGTTTTCACTCCATGCATTTCAGTTTAAAAAATCTGCAAATTGAGGCAGCATTTTTGAAAACTAAATGGTACATTCTGTAGATGATTCTTGAGGCTACTAAATCACACTCCAAATTTGTTTTGGTCATGCCTAGATGTTTCAAAGAATTGGATTTACTTTTCGTTAGGGACGTAACAGAGTACGAATAGTATGATATTCTCTTATTTACTACGAAACCTAGAAGTCATATCCTGCAAAGCATGCTCTTTCAAAAATACCTTTAAAAAATCTTAACTTGTGTTTGAAAGATTTGCAGAAAGTAATAGCATTTGAGAGATATTTTTGCCCAAGATTCCTTAATAAAAAATAGTATATCATGAAAAAGGCTGAGAAAGAAAGAGCAAACATCTTTCTACAAAGTGAGATGTTCTTTGATGTTGCACTCTTTTTTTTTACAGAGATAGCACTGTTTTCGAATGTGCTGCTTATATCAGGTTTTTCACTTATTAAAAAAGAAGTTGAAAAATATTGTTAAAGTATGCTATAGTAGAGTTGTTAGCCACGGCTTTGAATTAAACGTGTGTTGATCTTTCCGCCACGAAGAGACCACTCTATAAGTAGGAAAGGAAGGTTTTTATTTTGGGAGGGGGGAAATTTTTGTCGTTTTATTATTGTTTTGGTTTATTTTTTCTTTGGACTGTCGTTTTTTTCAAAAGGGGAAATAATGGGACAAGATACAATATCGTTCTAGAAGAATATTGCATTTTTTGTTTTTCGATTTTTTTTTCTGTTTTTTTCGAGAACTTTTTGAGATTTTTCGGAACATCGCTATAAAAGCGTAAAAAGAAAACGAGAGAATTTTTTTTAGAAAAGAGAAGAGAAGAGCTTGTTTAGAGATGATAATACTAAGAACAAAACATATTTTTTCATAGTTTTCAACAGAATGTTTTGCTATCTGTTGTTTGAGCAAATGGTTTCACTTCGACGTTGTAAAGTGATAATGATTTAACATAATGGAGTTCTAATGTATTAGGAACAGATCAAATGTTATTCCATCGTTGATCGAGTGATGATGATTCAGATTTGATTTGTTGTGCATCAACAAGTATAACATTAATATTTCTAGCAACTGAAGTTGCATATTGTACAAAATCATTTGCATTACGTACAATACATTTTTTTGCCATCACACCCTTCCACATCAATCGTTTTACACTACCACCAACACCGTCTACAACACAACGCCCATGTCCGCTTGAGAAGAAGTTCCAAATCAAACTGGCGTTATAGTCGTTCGACAAAACTGTTAAATTTGCAAATGAAAATCATTGTTTGAATTGTGATCCTGAACCATCCGAAAAAATATTTAGAGTATCCAATGAAGAAAATCTTTTTTTGGATGTGTAGTAATCTTCGTTAGACAGACATGGATTGAATATTTATTATGAGACATATCATCGGAAACCAATGCATAACTTACAGTTTCAGAATTTGGACCATACCATGCCACAACAGTAAATACACCAACTTGATTATAAATGAAAAAGCATTTTGAACTTCATCTTAATATGTTACACGATAGTTTTCCGAGAAATCAACCTACAGTACAATAGATGTTGAACTTCCATGTTGTCTACATTCTTGAAAATGTTCATATGGAACATGAGTAATGAAGCTGTGCATCAGGAAATTTTCAGTTTGACTTTTTAAGTCATCAATTGCATCTTGAGATGTGCCAGAGCTTTTTATTTTGACGATTCTTGAGTCAACTGTTTTCCATTGAAAATAAGATAATTCTTCTCCATCGTCATCATCATCACATTGAAATAATTTATCGAAATCTTTTAAATTCCCACATTTTATGCATTTTGATGACATTTATTTTTCATCAGTAACGTCACAAACCAAAGCTTGACAGTAAAGTGATATGATTTTTGGTGTATTCAACACTGGATTTCATACTGATAGCAACAGATCCATATTTGTATTATATTTCCAGAGACAAACATCTTGAGGAATATCAGTCAGAGGTAAAACATGCTGGGGACGTAGTAAACTAAATGAAGTTGAACCGATTTTTTCATTTGGATACATCAATTTAAATTGTTCATAAACTTCTCAAACTGTCATAACAAGATATCGTTTTTGATGTTTGATTTTTGAACCATCAGGAGATTTGACGGTAATCACATCCTTTTTATCAGGAGCAACACTGCTAATTTCATCTAATTGATAAAATTGTATAACATTGCTTTTTGTAACTTCAGAAAGATGATTTAATTTTGGTAATGCCAAAGGCTTTGCAGTTATTTCATGTTTCATTGCCAAATGCCGAATAATTTCTTCTTTTTTTGTTGGATTTACTGGAAAGCCTCGTTTTGCACGGTGGACAGCCTTGGCTAAGGTTTGAGCACATTTGCACGTGATCGATGCAGTTGTTGAAGCCGATGACAAAGATAATTGATTTACTTGTGAACCAAGTTTTTCAGAAGCCAACTTTACTAGACGTTTGGCTTGTCGTATTCGATTTTGTTTGACCAATTGGTGACTCTTAAGATTTCGAACAGCATCTTTTTCTTGGAATTCTTTTAACAATAATTCATTTCCTTCACGCTGCAGTTTAGTCTTGAATCTACGAAACCGTTCAGCAGATGACAAAGCCATTATTATCAACAATCAATACAAAAAAAACGAATGTGATGTAGTAAAAAGATGTGATTTTACGTGACTGAGTGTAATTAATATTGACTGTGAAAAATCGTTAGGGACGTGACTAAATTTTTCTTCGCATATACTTTCCACAAAGAGAATAGAAAAAAAAATAAATATATGATATATATACTTGGCACGTATAATTATGTTTATATACAAAGTTTGAAACTTGGCGGACGATTACTTAAACGAAAATAAGAATTTATTTGAAATTTCGTTAGGGACGTGACAGACAAAACGAATAAATTTAAAATTGATTGATCTTGGAAAAAAGCTGTTAGCGCAATCCCTTGCGGGATTAAAAGTGTGAAACATGGTGTAGCTGCTGTTACCAGTCACATGAATATGGTTTTCTTCGATATACCGCGGAACCCATTTATTCATTATTTCTTACTTAATTCTCTAGAACTACAACAAGGAAGCAGTTGATATATTCTTATGAGATTCTAGTGATATATAATCGTAAATCATGTATCAAAAGGTCTGCCATGATCTGTGAAGGGTATAGGGTTTCTCTGCCACGGTCTATGATGGTCTCTGAACTTCCTCTGTCACGGTCTGTGAGGGAGGAGGGTGAAAATTTCTACCCTATATACTTCAACACTCCTTTCAGATCGTGTTTCACAAAAGCCAAATGTATTTCTTTTTATTCTTCCACAATCAGAAAGATCATTGAGAGAATTCTAGATCCATATAAAAAAATAATTACAACTTTTTAATTTGCGGTATAACGATTGTGATTTCTCAACGTAGAGATATGTCAGTTTTCATAATGTAGCGATACCATTAGAGAATAAGCTTTTTTCCAGTGTTTAAAGCTATGTAAACGAAAAACAAACATCATTTTCATATACTAGAGACCGCACGCCATTATTATATTATGCTTTCGCAGCTCAGCTTTAAGTTTGAAAAAACACCATATTTGTCCCGTTTTACCTGAAATGGCCCATACATTTTATCCAAAATAAATGTGGAAACCTCGAATTTAAATCCGCAAGTTATGTGTACTTCAAAAAGTGAATTAGACAGATGAGTCATCCTAGAATGTGTGGACATCAAAATTATCCTGGCAAAATCTTTCCTATAAACACTTGACTTCTATTGGCTATTGCTCACCCAATATGACTTGGGGGCGAATACAGCTCAGATTCGAATTCCTCGTCTTGATTTACCCTAAGAAAGTCGTTTTTTTCTATCACTTGATTTCTATTGGTTACCCCTCAACCAATAGGATTTCGAGGTAAGTGGAGTACAGATTCGAGTTCTCCAGCCCAGAAAACCTCAAAGTATCATCTCTGTGATCAGAAGATTGAGCTCTAATTGTGGATCAATTAGAGTGTAGACGAAAACAGAACCAATTTCCGTTTAGTTATCTTTGTAATCGTTGAGTTAATCTTCTTGTTTCTTTATGTTTTATATACTATTTTGTAGCTCGTGAAATTCTCTATCGAATGGTGTATAATAGTTGGGGGTTTATTTGACTATAATAGGAAAAGGTTTTTACGAAAGCGGGGATAGGTCGATTTTCGTATCGGAAGGCATCGGGAATAACGACTATTCTTGTAATAACTCAGGAACGGCTCAGCCAATCCTTCTCATCTTCGAACTCGACCGAGATATTGTTGAAACTAAACTGTGTAGAAAATTTCATCGCAATCGGACTCTCCTTTCAAAAGTTATCGTGTAAACGGCCGGACGGCCGGACATACTGACCGATTCTAGAGTGTACTCACTTTTTGAGTACACAAAAAGTAAAGTAAAATATAGTAGAATGATTTACGATACTTAAAATTAACTGTTGATTTTCTAGCCGAAAATCATACAGTGATAATGGTACTGAACCATATTCAAAGTGTGATGTTAGGCTGCAAATCAATATTTAACTGTAAGTAATTAAATGCACTTTACTTTATTTTACTTTACTTTTTCAAAGCAAAGTAAAAATTAAGTGCCATCTCTGGTTTCTACAGGGCTAACGTTGGAATCACAATGGATTTGTTCTAATCATGAAAGAAAACCCTACTCAAGTCGATCATATTATCCACGAAAGTGAAATGGACTCATATATCGAATAATCTCTGACCGTCTATGATACTAGACGGAATTTTATCGTCTCTGTCTGTCACGGTTTGTAACGCAGTCCTATTTTGAGGTGTTTCACTTTTCTCGCTAATACACTTCAATACTTGTTTCCAGATGTGCCTCGGAAAACATCGCATTTTGTACCATGTATTTTTTCTTCACTGTATGTTGCTAATGAGTCTAATGAGTATCAGAAAAATCCTTTGATCGAAAACGTTGCTGATTCTCATTTAAGATAAAGCAGTTCGACTCATTTCTAGATATATCTCCAGAGAATCATCGATGGTTCTATATCTTTTTTGACTTCATACTTTGCTAATACGTATGAAACGAGTGAAGTAATAAAAACTTCAAAGAACTGATTTTTTTAATGAGATTGGGCGACGGCAGACATTTTTTTGAAAAATCAGTACTTTTACAAAATCACAATGAAACTAATATTTTCCTGTTGAAATTTCAAAGAGATTTTGAAACCATAAACATGCATATCCTCATTCAATCTGAACCAAAAAGTAATCCTTTCTAGGTTGCTCTAGCTTACTCATTGTTTACTTCTGAACCAAGTATCAGTTCACAACGATTATAATTTCATAAATGATTTCCTCGAGATACACTGATAAAATTAGTCTAATGTTGCTTATTTTGGGTAAAACCGACCAATTCTTTCGATGAAAGTTCTTTTCAAAAACCTGCTTACCCAATTACAAGAAACAATCTAACACAGCGAAAATTTTTTCAGAAGAGTGGTATGAATCCTATGCATTTATTCAACTATCTTTTTGCTGCTAGTAAATCTTTCATCAAGTCTCTACAGATCTGACAGTTACTTTCTGCATGCATCTTCGAATAACTGTTGTATATAAGTGGTTTGAGATTTTTGTGAAACATCCGATTAAAAATGAGTGTTGAACGATATAGTAAGAAAATTAGTGCCTCCTCCTCCACTACACAGATCGTGCTAGACCTTTCGGAATATATTTTTCGATTTTCATTTCATGAAATGTTAGTTTTCAGCATAATAGAATGTTTGAAGTGTTAGATCATGAAGTATTAGGTTTTTCAGTGTTTCTGACTCAGAAGGATAATATGATAGATGTGAATTCGACCATTCTCTATGTCTAAAATGCGTCCAGCATATCTCATATTCTAATCATGCCGATGTATTCTGAAATTTTTTTATCTAAAATTATGTTTCCACCGTGGTTTAATTTATCCTCAATTCTTCGAAAGGTTTAAACAATTTTTATCTTTTTTATATAGATACCACCAAGGGGGAAAAGGCGGATCCTGGTGGCTCCTCATGGATCCTGGAATCCATGAGGATCCACCGAGATCCACTAGGATCCACCAAGATGGACTCCCCATATAAAAGAAAAGTGAACCAAAAGTCACTTTTTATCACTTTTAATAGTAATAAAGTAAAATAAAGTAACTTTTCTTACTATTTTTCACTTTTTATAGTACTTTTTGATAATTTTTCCACTTACTATAGTACTTTCTCATACTTTTCGTACTTTCAAACGTACTTAAGAGTACTTTTTGACTAAAAAGTATGAAAAGTACTTAAAAAGATTCACTTAGAAGTACTTTGTCCTGTTTAAAACATACTATTGAAAGTACTCAATAGTCACTTTTTTGGGTAAAAATGTTTACATGGGTAGGACTCACCATTATGGGCTAGGATTCATCAGGATCCACGAGAAGCCATCAGGATCCGTTAGGATTCATCAGATCTCATTATGATTCGTCAATAGAAATTAGTGTTCTGAATATTCACAAAAGCCAGAAGATCAATGAGATTCATAAAATACGGATATATAATTCAAAACATGTAATGGACAAATAAATGTGATCATTATGTGTTATTCATACAGCTCTGACTACTCTATTTTACAAAGAGAACAAGGTACCCTAATGGTTATTCCACGGTCTATTGAAATCGGTTCTATGATAAATCCTCTTCTAACAGATGCTCCCACGACAATTGCTTCCCACACTCACACTAAGCCACATCCGCATTCTCACATCCAGCTAACCATATTCATGCCCTCACTGACATCTACATCGTTACTCTCATTGACATCGGCACCAATATTCTGAACTGTCCAGGGAGCAAGTGTCAATGGAGCAATAGTCCGGTTACCATTAGAATTCATCCAGACCCATTACAAACTTGAAAACTAAGTGAACAGACGGGGAATCGTTACTAGAATTTCCGTCAAAAAAAAAGAAGAAATCTTAGAGACTGAGATTTTGGTGGGTGACGATTAATTCTGATGCATCTTGATGAATTTTGCAGTTTATATGATCGAATAGGATTCATGAGTATTCAGATTTTTCATACTGGTCTGAAATTACTCTGAAGCGTCTAGACTTCTGCTGAAATACTTATGAACTTCAATAGATTGTAATAGATAATGCTGATTTTTTTTCTCGAGAAAAGCTCCGATGCTTTTAAACTAGATCTCTAATACATGCAACAAGTATTCTGCACAGGTGCATCATTTTTTATACGAAAACGAGAACATCTGAAAAAAAGTGTACCTATAGAATTTAAAGATACTGACAGAACTTCAATCGAGATCCAATCAAAATCATAAACACTTTTTCACTGCTTTTCAGTGATGAATAAACGAAGAAACCAGTAAATCTTGAGAGGATCGTGTAGCCACACATTTTCAAGATTCGATAAGAATCACAACAGAATTCTATTAAGACCCTGAGCAGTTTCCCAGGGCAGTTTAAATAAGGAATTCGTTAACGGAAGGATAAATCTTTAGAAAAACGTGTAGGCATGAAATAGACACGACTTTTTCAGAATTAGAATAATATAGAGACATTCTGGGCCATTTTGCGTTGATTTTGTCAAG